CTACACGACGCTCTTCCGATCTTGGGCTGCATTATTCATCGTCTCTGTGCGTGCGAGCGCCGGCGGCCACGGCGTCCGCCTCGCAGGGAGCCGTTGAGGCGAAGATCCGTCTGGATCACCGGATTGGTTGGTTGGTCTCTGGTGCTGTCTGAGGGATCGTTCTGGGAAGTCGACTGGAGCACCACCTTCAAATGCCCCTATGCCATCAATGCACTGGAGCGTCGAACCTGCCGGATACATTGCTTGCTCAGCATCAACCCACTGTTCGATTGTGGTACCTTTTGTTGTTTTGATCACATTGACCTGTTCATGAACAATGCCACAAAAGAAACCACATTATCTTAATGAAATACCTTAACACCTCTTTCACTGTTCTCTCTTCCGCAGGTTCAGCTTTGACTCCGGACAACAAATTCTCTGTTCAACTGATATCTCCTCACATGGAACTGCCTGGGATGGAGAAGCCAAGGAACAATTGCATTTGGCTTTCGCCACCAACGGTGAACCACTGGGGCCAATCAACAAAAATCTGCAACGGAGAGGCTAAGTAGAGCCCAAGACGGGCATCCTTACCACATATGATCTCAGTTGGTATGTCTATCAAGGATCGCACATGGAGATGGGTATCTTGCATGCAGTCCAGGTCCATACCGTCATTCCGAACCAAGCAACAGCAGCAGCAGGAGGTAGCAACAGCAACAGCAGGCAAACAGCAGCAGCAACCACAGGATCAGAGTTAGCTTGTGTTTGGGAAAAAGAGACGACTTTCCGCAGAGCCTGTTCATGGACATTGCCGTCTGTGAAGCTGAAGGCTTCATTGGTCGGGCATGTGAAGCTGGGAATCCATCCTCGTTGCAACAGCTCCTGATGCTCTAGAACTCTCCTGCTGTATTGGGCTGAGGTGTTTCTTGAAAAACTCACACAAATGGTGCAGGTTCGATCATACTAGGTATATTGCAGCAAAATGCCATTTCGCGATGGCCCTGGGCCGCTGAGTGACTTTTAGAAGTAGCCGTTGCAAGCTACTCACGAAACTTTAGTCAAGCACACAAAACCCAAATCTATTAATTTTTTGACTGCTATAGTCACAACCAGTCTCCGCTGAGTATGAACACATACGAAAGGATATCTGAGCACATCCCATCTTCACCCACGCTCCGGCCCCAGCACCTGCCCCAAGTGGTGCTGCAGCGCAGCAGCCTTGGCCGCCTGCGCGGCCGCCTGGGCGGCCTCGGCGGATCGTTGTATCTTCGTTGGATGGGTTGCGTTGTATCTCGGTCGATTCTTCGCTGGATTTGCTGTCGAATCCAGGAAGACGGGCAACAATCAAAAAGGAATCTACAGCAGGGAAAAATGGACCCATAGGGACAACAAACATCCCCTGATCCGCTGATAAAAGCAGGTGGATCCCGATGTTTGTTGTGTTGACATCTTCAGATGGTCAAAAAAGATGGTAAACCGCTGAATGAGAAAGACATCATCACCACATCTTCACGCCTCAGCAGGGTCGGAGGCCTTCTTCAAGGCTTCCTCCAGGGCAACCTGAAAGGCAGTTCGAATCGCGTTTGGTGTTGACCCACAAACCTTGCTGAACACTGGCGAACCTAACTTCAGTGCCGGGCCTGGCACAAAACAACACACAACAAACAATACCTTGCATATCGTTGCAAAATACGCCGAGTACAACTTAGGAGCATTCCCTGCATTTCCCTCACTGTCAGCTCAGCTCAGATTCACATCCCGCCCAAACTTCTTATAAGTCCAGGGGAGTTCAGCCTAGGTGTAGAGTGGGTTGAAACCACATCATTTGTAAAGGCCATTGTGATGTTGTGGCCAGCCGAGTGGACCGGACTCTGACCGGCTCGACTGACCAATGGCGGCTTCGAGGAGTTGTTTCCACATCACTGCGTTGACCCAAAACATACCAACCAACAACCGGACCGGTAGGTACCTGAGAAGATGATCTCGGTACCCCAGGAACCGGACCGGGGTCCTTTTTGGTTTTGGTCACACACAACCTCTCTTGGAAAGCCTATGAGAAGGTGGAGCGCCCTTTTTGAAGCCGCGCCGCACCCTGGAAAAGCTCTGCGCCAAGGATATCCTCTTTTTTTTCTCAGCGAACCAAGGGAATCCCATTTCAATGCATCCAAGATAATATATGCCCTTATGATCCCTTATGTATAGTATAGTGAAGGGTGATCCCAAAGCGACTGGTGTGATGGTCAATTCACCACCAAACATACCAGTACAATCAACCACCAACTGCGAAAAGAAACCAACGCTTTTGGGTGCCTTTTGGTGCGGCGATGGTCTCCGGTCGCCTCGCCTCGCCGGCGGCCTGAGCTGCAGCCCATCCCTGGCGCTGCTGCAGCGCGGGCAACGGAAGGCCCAAACCTGCCCAGGGCACCGGGCGGAGAGGACACCGACAGGGGCTGGGTGGGCGGGCACGGTGCCTGAGATAGGTATACTTGAGGCCAGGGGGAGGAGGTCGAAAGCTAGCCGAATCGCACCGGATGTACTAGTTTCACCAAGAAAATTCAATGACCTTCACCGGAGAGGTCTTGGAATGGAAGACTTTCAAAAGATATTTAAAATCTCGATAAGAGATTTAAACTGCAAAAAATTGTTTTAAATGAAAATCTTAGCAACAATCAACTCAAAAAATCTAGAAACATCTCAAAAAATCTCGAGGGGAGAAAGGTTGCTATGTACATACTTCGCGCTAAAGAATGTAAATGTGACATCGCCGACTGGGAAGGGTACATTGGAACAACCCGGGTGCACTCGTTGGCAGGCACGAAGATGCGTGATCGGCAAATCTGGGGGGTAAGTTTACCCCCCGCTTTTGTATGCCTTGGGTCGGAAAGAGGGGTAAGCATTTCTGACATCACACGGACTGTACATACACTAGGGCGTCCGTAGTGTAGGAGAAGCACTGGTAAAAGGTATATGGAATAGAGTGTCTTGAGGAAATAGCCGGCTTATAGTTATGGCATATCTGGGGGG